ATTTTTAGAATAAGAATAAAGAAATTTTAATAATAACAATTTCTTTATTCTTATAAAATAAGAATAAAAATTTATTTTTATTACTAGAATAAAGAAATTATGTTTTCACTAAAAAAAAATATAAAATATAAAGATAGTTTGAATAGATCTGATTTTCAGATCATTTTATTTTCAAATCATTTTATTTTCAAATCATTTTATTAGTGCCTGTTTTATTTTCTATAAAAAAAAAGATAAGCGAAATATTTAAACAGGTTAATTTGAAAGGTTATTTTAGTTTAAATTTTGTAAAATTAGAGTGTTTAAAATACAAAATGATAATTGCAGCTTTATCTTTGATCCTTATCTCTGTATTTTTTAGCACGTATATATACTGCGTTCTTTTAATCTTAATTTCCGCGAAAGAAGTTGAATAATTAATAATGATGAAGAATAATGAAGAAATAACTGGAAATTCTTGAACAAAGCAGCTATTTTCACGAAAAATTCACTTTCACGATGACTTTCATTAATAATTCAGATAATGTTTGAAATTAATTCTTTGTTTAACATATTAGAACACTTTATTAGTAAAAATATAAATTTTACTTGCTTAATGCGCATAATTTTTCGCATAAAAAGCAATGAACTAAATAATAATGAAATTTAAAAAAGGAATTCGAATAATGAATAAATTAGATGTATCAAATTTACATTAATATTTTAAACGTATGCACGTGTATATTTTACATAAAATTAATGCATTTTCACGAATTTAAATTCGTTATTTCATTTATCACATGTAAAACAAAAAAAAAAAAAATCAATAAAATTTATGATTTAATTAACTTAAATAATTATTTTACGATATTAAAATACAAATAATTCAATAACATTATTAAAATGTATAAATATCAATTTCGTTGGCTTATAATTTTTTTAATATAACGTTTTTTTAAGAAAAAAAAAAAAAAAAAGTAACAAGAACTATATAACTTCTTCGATCTCTCTCGAATTCTCTTAATTCCTTGTTTTAGTGATAAATTAGGAAAAGTTGTTATATTAGAAATTTATTAAAAGATTCTCTGAAGATGATTTTAAAAATTCTTTTTTCATCATATTTTTTTTTTTTTGCTTCACGTTAACATCCATTTTTCATAATATGATGTAGATTCGACATCAAGACCAATTCACTAAACTAAATAATACTATGACCTTGTAGTATTATTTCATTCATCAGTAATTATAATGACTACTTTAATACTTTCTATATTTTTCCATTTTTCAACTTCTCATTAAATGGAGAATAATCGATGATATCGATACTATCAGCAGAATCTTGTCAGAATAACATATCCTTGTTTCATCAATTGAAATACCATTTATATACTGATCACACTATAATAGTATAGATAGTATAGATAGATTTATATACTGATCACACTATAATGGTATAGTATAGATTATAGATAATATTATATATAAGAATATAGTGTATATTATAGATAATATTATGTATAATAATATAATAGTACAGTATAAAATACTGATTATATTATATTACATTATATTATATTATCAGTATAAAATACTGATAATATGATAGTAATAGTACAGTATAAAATACTGATTATATTATATTATAATATATATATATATATATATATATATAATATACATTATAATATTAATAGTAATAGTACAGTATAAATTATAATATTAATAGTAATAGTACAGTATAAAATACTGATAATATGATAGTAATAGTACAGTATAAAATACTGAT